CCATCGTCGTCAGCGCAGCCGAGAAGAAGACCGCGCCCGACCCGCAGCTCCTCCAGCGCTGCCAGTGCCTCATCGGCAGCCTCATGTTCGCCACCAACGCGCGCCCCGACATCCAGTACACCGTCTCGCAGCTGGCGCGCTGCATGGCTTGGCCCGACGCGAACATCGAGGCCGCCGCCGAGCGCTGCCTCATCTACCTCATCGGCACGCAGGACCTCGGCCTCCACTACGAGCGCGTCGCCGACCCCAAGCTCTTCGGCTGCTCCGACGCGAACTGGTGCACCCGCCAGAGCACCTCCGGCTGCGCCTTCAAGATCGGCACCGCGATCATCTCGTACTTCTCCAAGAAGCAGGGTCACATCTCCCTCTCGACATTCGAGGCCGAGATCTCTGCCGGCACGCTGGCGGCTTGCGAGGCGGTCCACCTGCGCTCGCTCCTCGCGTCGCTCGGCTACAAGCCCAAGGGCCCGACCATCATCAAGATCGACAACACGGCCGCGCTGCGCGTCGCCGAGGACCCGGTCATGCACGACAAGACGAAGCACATCCTGCGCAAGGAGCTCAAGATTCGCGAGCTCGTCGAGTCCGGGGAGGTCAAGGTCGAGTACGTCGAGAGCCTCAAGAACTTCGCCGACTTCTTCACCAAGCCGCTCCCGCGCAAGGAGTTCGAGTCGTTCCGCAAGGAGATCATGAACGACACCGCCTAGGACGGCACAGAGGGGAAACGCCGACTTCCCCTTCATCAAATGTAGTCGACAACCGGCAGTATGGGCGCTCCTGGAGCTCCCCGAGTCACTTGTATGTTCGTCCTCCACCCTTGAGGAGGCTGCGCAATTGTGCGCGCGATAGTAGGAGATGTAGGAGTCGTCTAGCTTCTTCAGATCCTCAGCCTCGCTACCCGATGCGAGGATGGGGGGCTGTTGAAGACCGACGACCGCGCAGCCGTCTAGTCTACGGCCACACACACACACATAGTGTCCTTACCACCCCTGGACTGCATCTGCGCAGTTTCGTACCGCTGCGGCGCGGTTTTGCAAAAACCGTTCTGCAGCGGCGCGGTTTTGCCCTTCACCCGCAGCCTGGATTGATAGTCATTGTGGGTGTGGGGGCCGCGGGCCAGGACTTTTGTTTGAACAAAGTTTTGACATACCCCTCGAGCTGTCCACCGGGCCGGCGACTGGCTCAGGTGGCGGAGCAGAGTACGCCATCGAGGAGGACCCGCTCCAGCCGATCTACCGCAAGGTCGCGGGCGACATGTTCCGCGCGGTGAATGACATCGACGTGCCCAAGACGGTCCCGCTCGTCCTCTCGTACACGTGCATCATGCTCGCCATGTACGTGGCGCGCATGGACGCAATGCAGGCACACGCGCTTGTCGGGCATGTCAAGGTCGTCGACGCGTACGACACGACCGCCGGTGTGAACATGCCGGGATCGTATGCTGCTGGCGTCGACTCCAAGGCCGGCATGAACATGTTCCCGACGTGTTGAAGACCGACGACCGCGCAGCCGTCTAGTCTACGGCCACACACACACACATAGTGTCCTTACCACCCCTGGACTGCATCTGCGCAGTTTCGTACCGCTGCGGCGCGGTTTTGCAAAAACCGTTCTGCAGCGGCGCGGTTTTGCCCTTCACCCGCAGCCTGGATTGATAGTCATTGTGGGTGTGGGGGCCGCGGGCCAGGACTTTTGTTTGAACAAAGTTTTGACAGTACATTTCTGTCGGGCCTTGGAACAGCTTGTGAGTGGTCACTGCAGACCTTCACAGTTGGTGGCGGCGGGGCAACGATCCCCGGGACATTACGACAACATGTCGTCGACGGACAAGCTGGTGATTCCGGCCTACAAACAGAGCTCCGAGCGGGAGTTCAGGACCCGGTCATGCACGACAAGACGAAGCACATCCTGCGCAAGGAGCTCAAGATTCGCGAGCTCGTCGAGTCCGGGGAGGTCAAGGTCGAGTACGTCGAGAGCCTCAAGAACTTCGCCGACTTCTTCACCAAGCCGCTCCCGCGCAAGGAGTTCGAGTCGTTCCGCAAGGAGATCATGAACGACACCGCCTAGGACGGCACAGAGGGGAAACGCCGACTTCCCCTTCATCAAATGTAGTCGACAACCGGCAGTATGGGCGCTCCTGGAGCTCCCCGAGTCACTTGTATGTTCGTCCTCCACCCTTGAGGAGGCTGCGCAATTGTGCGCGCGATAGTAGGAGATGTAGGAGTCGTCTAGCTTCTTCAGATCCTCAGCCTCGCTACCCGATGCGAGGATGGGGGGCTGTTGAAGACCGACGACCGCGCAGCCGTCTAGTCTACGGCCACACACACACACATAGTGTCCTTACCACCCCTGGACTGCATCTGCGCAGTTTCGTACCGCTGCGGCGCGGTTTTGCAAAAACCGTTCTGCAGCGGCGCGGTTTTGCCCTTCACCCGCAGCCTGGATTGATAGTCATTGTGGGTGTGGGGGCCGCGGGCCAGGACTTTTGTTTGAACAAAGTTTTGACAGTACATTTCTGTCGGGCCTTGGAACAGCTTGTGAGTGGTCACTGCAGACCTTCACACGACGCCCGACTTCTTCCCTCACGGGTGGCGCGAGCCCGAGAAGCCCATCTACATCCGCTGCGCAAACAACGACTACCTCAAGGCGAAGGGCGTCGGCACCGCGTACGCCTTCGCGCTGGCTGACCCGACCAAGCCGCAGGACACCGAGGTTGTGAACACCGAGTGGGTGAACGCGCTGTACGCGCCCGGACTCGCCATGCCTCTCGTCAGCGTCAAGGAGTGCAAGGCGCAGAACATCGTGGTCCGCTTCGACCTCTGCCCACCACGCTTCAACTACCCCTCCGGGCAGACCATCTACTTCGGGGAGGACTTCAACATCCACCTGATGCCGCTCGGCGCATCCGTCGGCGCCAACGCCGCCAAGGCCATCGTGCGCGGCAAGCCGGGGCGGCGCCCGACGGATGGCACCTTCTGGCGGCACGCCCTGTGCATCTCCGGCGACGCGCTAAAGGACCTCAGCAAGATCGCGGACGGCGTGCCAGACCTCTCCAAGATGGACCGCAACGAGGGCCTCGACGACGCCGCGCTGCAGGCGAACGCCAAGTACCACGCGCGGCGCAGCACCGGCCGGCCACTGGCCACTCGCTTCGGGGGCTCGTCGCACTACGACCTCTGGTCGCCCAAGGGTGTGGTAGGCGTCGATGGGCACCGCTACGCACTCATGGTCGTCGACGAGCACACCAGCACCATCACGCCGTACATCCTGCAGACCAAGGGCCAGACGCCTGCCTACCTGCGCAAGTACTTCGCCGAGAACGAGGGAAAGGACGGCCATCACCAAGACGCAGACCGGTTTCAAGCTGTCTGCCAGCAAGTACATCGACACGCTGCGCGCGCGCTTCTTCCCGTCAGGCGTCACGCACGCGGGCTACAAGGTGCCCGCGGACAAGGACCTCCCGTCCATCGTCATCAACGCAGCCGAGAAGAAGACCGCGCCCGACCCGCAGCTCCTCCAGCGCTGCCAGTGCCTCATCGGCAGCCTCATGTTCGCCACCAACGCGCGCCCCGACATCCTACCAGTACACCGTCTCGCAGCTGGCGCGTTGCATGGCTTGGCCCGACGCGAACATCGAGGCCGCCGCCGAGCGCTGCCTCATCTACCTCATCGGCACGCAGGACCTCGGCATCCACTACGAGCGCGTCGCCGACCCCAAGCTCTTCGGCTGCTCCGACGCGAACTGGTGCACCCGCCAGAGCACCTCCGCGCTCCGGCTGCGCCTTCAAGATCGGCACCGCGATCATCTCTCGTACTTCTCCAAGAAGCAGGGTCACATCTCCCTCTCGACGTTCGAGGCCGAGATCTCTGCCGGCACGCTGGCGGCTTGCGAGGCCACAGGGCCGCGGGCCAGGACTCTTGTTTGTAAGTTTTGGCAGTCTATTTCTGTCAGTACTTTGGATACAGCTTGTGAGTGGTCACTGAAGACCTTCACAATAGGAGCAGGAGCAAAGACAGGGGTGAAGAGTGCTGTGTATACGTTTTACCCAAAACCGAAACCGAAACACGAATCTCCAAACCAAAAAGGGATGAAATCCCTTATGGATATAATCGCGAGAGAGCCAAGGGTTATCGGTGTAATCGAGTGTTCACTCCCACGGATCTCTCAGGGTGCACATTACAAAGAACCCTGCACAAAGATCGCACGGGCGGGGACCTGTTCCTTTTTTACCCAGTAGAGAGGTCTCCGTTTTTATTTATTTTATTTATTCTCAGGGTGCACGCGCGGTGTGTACGTATACACTACGGGGTGTGGAGATTGTGCGCCAAGCCCTCCTGCTCGGCTCCAGCGAGTAGACAAGTGTTACCATCAACAGAGGAGAAGGATATGACCTCAGGGCTGATGTGACCAAGCCCTGGTAGCGTGGTTTGACCTCACACCCATGGTCTCACAGTGTGCCGGCAGTCGCCGAGCAGTGTCGCTCACACAAGCCGCAGCACAAGTGACTGAGGGCCAGTGAGGGCGAGCCCATCGCTGTCACAGCTGTGGCAGCCGCACAGTAGGCTGTGTCAACTGTGCAGAGTGTGTGAGCAGCAGAGGAGCTGCTCTCCAGGCTTCTGGCGCAAAGAGCTGCATGCCCCACCGAAGGCGCTGTCGAGGTTCGCTGAGCGCGACGAAATCGGGGGACACCGTCACCGACGAGCGCGTTCGAGTATTCACTCCGGACAAAGACGGGCACACAGCGGACGGTGCGGGGCGTGTGCCCGTCATAGCGGCGAGGCGCGGGACCATCTGTGGCGAGGTGGGTCGCGTCCCCCGATTTTGTTCAACCCAGCATCCACACCCTTTACTGATTGTACATTGCACGTGTGTTGTGTGGGGCTCTTGATGACGTCTTTCCTGGTATCTCTCATGACACGGCATGGCGCTCTCACCTCTATGTTACAACTTCAACAAGAAACCGACAGCGGCCCTAGCTTCGTGGCGGCAGCGCAGTCCCTTACTTCCCCGCGAGCCTGGCGGCCAGCGCGGACAGGTCGGCCTCGAGTGAGACGAGGTGCCCGGGCCGCGCCTCGTGCTGGCGGGTGCGCCGCAGCAGCAACATCTCGTCCCTCGCCCGGAGCGCCGTCGTCGCGTGGTTGAGCATGCCCGCCAGCTGCCCCCGCTCAGCGCCGATGCGCGAGATGTGGCCTGAGAGCGCCTGCACAGTCGACTCGTACCTCGCCGCCGCTTCGACGCCGCCGCCCGCCGCGCTCAGCGCCGCCTGCTGCCTCTGGATCTGCTT